TTTTCCGCCCATTCCCAAAATCATGAATATTTCATGATATCTTCAGCATAATATTCTTCAAGTTGAAATTACCTTAACAAAGAAAACTGGATGCCATTCAAATTTAATTTTCCAATCCATACATTGTTCTTGAAGAAGGCCCAATTGACTTGCACATCTCGTAATCAATTCACGTTAGGTCAAATTTTTAGAAAATCTATAACTTGTTATAAAGATCGTTATCGAAAATGAAATTAGTGATTAAAAGTTAAATAAAAGTTGTCCATAGTTATATGTGATGCTTCATGGTGTGGATATCAAAACAATTTTTCTGATTTGCAAAAGCAAGCCAAATTTTCTCTTTGTATAGTTTTGCTCTTGTGCCTGTTGAGGGCGAAAGGTCGAACGAAATATATTGTTTGCTTTAAGAAAGTGCATGGATACAGGGCAATGACTTTCTCTTCATTCACTCAATGTAGGTCACCACCTTCCACGCATGGTCTAATATATCTTTTACACTTTGACGATCCATACCTCTTTACACTTCTGGGGCCCGTTTCATAAAACTTGTTATCTGTAACAAATGCTAAATTTCTATGACAAATTTGCTCTCAGCCAATCAGATGCCTGATTTCAGTAGCTTATAACAGTAGCTTGTAACTTGTTATTGATATCAAGTTTTATGAAACAGGGTTCTGATGTTTTAGTTTTCAGTGTTCTGTGGGTTTCTTTTTGTGGTTAATTTTCAAACGGAACTCTGACAAACAAACACCATTTTTGGTAATGCATCCCAAAGCCTACAGTATCCCCTTTTTTATTTTTTTTTATTCTTTTATTTGTTAGGTGTTCATTTTGTTTTGAACAATTGAATTAATTACCCACCCATTTTCATTACTTTTCTCTGCTTCTCTCCCAATTTCATCTTGCTCTCTCTTGCCCTCTCTTGCCCTCTTTTCCCCTCCTTCCCTCTCTCCTGTCTCCCCCACTTCTCCCCCTCTCTCTATAATTATTTATATATCTGCTTTTGCATCGCAACATGCTGTGTCCAAAAATTCACATACAATTTATTTCATGAGATATCACAAACACCCTCTCAAAATTATATAATGACTATTTATTTGTGTTGCAATGCGTCTTAATTCCCAAAACACCTTCCATGTATCTTACACACGTTTTGCCTAATCTCCGCTCTATATATTTTAATTGAGCGTCTATTCTAAATATAACGATCTTGGCCTCAGATTATAAAGAGTGGGGGATTGGGGAAAATCAATTGGCAAATCACGTGATTTGATTGCTACCTCCTAATTTCCACAAAAAGCTCATTCTCAGTGATTTGTCCTGTGCCATATGTGTTCCCTAATTTGGAAGAAATGATTAGAATAATACTATGAAAGAAGTTCAAAAAACCTTTTTTAATATTGTATTTTAGATCAAATTGACCTCTGGCTAGACTTAGGGGTCATTCCCATTGCCTTTAAGTTCAAACCGTTCATATCCTAAAAGGTTTACGCACTCTTAATCAATGTTGGCAGCACGGTGTCGACCAATCTGAGCAGTTGTTGACCGGCTTTATGTATTTGATGATTGAACTATATGTGGAAGTGGAAACAATGCTGACCTCATCAGGGTATAGGGTGTTGGCCAAGCTGGTATCGCGTGACCCAACCTAGGAGATTTAACTCTTAAACTTGTTTACATACAAAATATTACCCCTCTTTCCACTCCCGATGAACACGCCCTCCTGCCCCCCTCGCCCTGGAGTTAAATCTGGTAATTACGTCGATGAATACAAGAGAAAGGTCCGGTGGCTAGTGGTCAAGCCGCTTGGTCTGTCTCAAGTAAGTCGAGACGGAATCAGGGATGAGGACAAAGAGAAATTGGAATGTGTGTTTTCCAGGCCGATACCAATATTGCATGTTCTTCTTGAAAATGGATAGGTATAAGCCGAGGCTGTTATGGTCTCTGCCTATTTGGTAGGATGCGGAAACATTGTATGATTTCCCTATTCAGTCGCAAGGTGGTTAGGATTTGAAATGTGGAAAATCACAGAGGTATGGTATCTAGAGAAAGAAAGAGAGAGAGAAAGTGAGTGTGAGACAGAGAAAGAAAGAAAGAAAGAAAGAAAGAGAGAGAGAGAGAGAGAGAGAGAGAAAGGGAAAAGTGTGATCTTTAGAATTAGCCTTTTTGAAGTTTGCCCGAGTTAATAATTTTTAAGATAATGAATATACGAAGGAGAAAACAAACAGGGAGAGGGGTGAATGAAGGATGAAAAGGACAAAGGTAGGCTATATTAGTATGTGTTTGTGTGTGATAAAGGGATAGTGAGTGAGAGAGAAAGAGAGAGCTTAAGAAAGGGAGAGGGAGAGAGAGAGAGATTAATAAAGAGAGAGAGAGAGAGAGAAAGAGAGAGAAAGAGATGATACTTAAGGTAACATACCTTTTGGGGTTAACACAGTTGTGACACCGTGGAAGAAGTTTAAAGAGATAAAAATAACACAATTACTGGTGAAACATTTTTTTATATTTCTCTCAAAACATTAGCTTTATTCTTTCAGTTGTGCCACTTCAATATTTTACACAAGATTTTATAATGATGATGTGAGATGCTAAAAAATATTGCACGTGTGTATTCCATATCATTAATACAAGCATATATTGCAGTGAGATGATGTTTTCTGCCAGAAATTTACAAAAACACGTTTTCTTGGATATTCAACACCAAATTTTCTTCAAATTAAATTCAAACGTGCTACATATTCTTTACTAGATTGAAACCTGTATTGCGAGGAACAAACCTGTTCTAAGTTGTATCACAGTTTTTTTAAACTTTTGCACAGTCAAGCAAATGTTTTTTTTTGTTGTTGACAATTCGAAGCTTATTAAACCTCAACAAATTATATTACATGTAAACTATATTCAGTCGTTATTAGTCATTAGTAGTGATATTTGATAATATATATCTCCTTGTACTGAATTTAAAGAACATGGGATGGTAAATAACACTTTTATCGTGCTCGTTTCGAGTTTGAGTTTTCTTTCAAATATGAACATTGTCATCATGTTTTTTTTAATATCAAGTCGACGAAATTATTGTTTAACACAGAGTTCTTGAAAAGAATTAACGTACGATAGAGATAGATTTCTTTAATTGGAAGATATGCGATTATTGACAATGAAAAACTCGCGATTACCACTCTTTGAATCTCATAATCATTATATTATTTTTTTTCATTTGATTTGGACACTGTAAAGCGATTTGGCTATAAACAAAGCATTCTCCTCATACATTCTCTCTTTCATTTCTTCAAAATAATGATAAAATTTCAGCTTCGAAAGAGTATAAAAAAGTATGAAATATGATACAACCTATGTACAGTCAAACATTTCAGAGTGAAATTAATTGAATACTATACAGATTTACTGTTCTTTTAAAAGCCGTTCCTCTCTTTTATATCTTATTTCGTTCCTCAAAAGGGAACTGTTATTCTCGAATCGCCATCGTGTATTCTTAAATCTGAGCACGAGAACAGCTTTTGTCGAACCCTTTATACATTTTATGGGGTATTACAAATATATATTTAAGGAACCGATGCTATTTTTGTATTGCCCGTAAAGTGTCAATACAATTACATATACAAATACAGTTATTGTTCTGTTATTGTTCTGTGCGCTCATAATTACAGGATTCAAATTAGGCAAAAAAAGCTTTTAAAATCTTTTGAATTACATATTGCTTTGTGATGTACGGTTTGATCGAAATCGCGTAAAATGTTGAAAATGATTAAAATATCTAAAGTAAGCGATCATTAAAACATTTTTCCACGTGATATTTTACCTATATTACCTTTAATCTCCTCAAGCAATGAAACGTTATGTTGACGTTATGTTAACATTATACTGTGTATAAAACAGTCGCACAAAATGCTTGCAAAATAACTACTTATTAGTATTGAATGAAAATTACCAAAAAAAAAGTTAAATCAGTTTAAATATTGTGATTATTATTTAAAAAAACATATCTTTGCATTCCTTCATTGAAGCAAAGTTATGGTTTACTGTATAAAATTTGAACATGTTGAAAGCATAATAGTTCACATTCCATGTATCCAAGCGTATTTCAAAGATACCAGATACATTTAATGGAATTTTCAAGCTGTACCGTTTGGAATATAATAATCTCGTATTCATGCATTTTCGAAACGATTTTTAATTACTAATTGGTAAACTAGCCACGTGAAAGGTTATCATCAAACAGTGATGATTTGAAATCAACCATCGTTGCCGGTGTTCCGGGTTCCTTGATCTAAGCTCATTTAACTGATTTCTTGTTCGCTAGCGTTATTTTATTGAATAATTTCACCAAAATGTGGTTAATATTCTTTGATTCTTTAAAAAAAAAAACCCATAAAATCGCATCATACACCTTTATTAAAGATATGCGAGTCGAAATAAGGCGAGCAAAATTAATATTAAGATATATGTAATACTATTGCATGGTGTGTAAGTGGAATGAGAATGTTTGAATAAAATCTGTTTGCTTTACCATGTTCGCCCCAAACTAACAACTAAGCTGAACGACAATTAAAAGAATCCCCATAATATGCTATTGATGACTTAAATATAATTTTGTTTATTGCACTTGACTGATAACACAACCATTGGTTGTCTACAAACTACTATTTTTATTGCTTGCATACTCGTCTATCGGAAAATCAGATTCCAGATCCTTAAATTACGACATGAATTATACATAACTGTATCTAAAAAAAAACACTCAACAATTTCAGAATAATGGAATGATGCTTTCCATAAAAAATTGAATGCACCTTCATTAATACAAGAATTCATTTGATAAAAGTCAAAAAAATTGTCACTTCCATTCATCTCATCAGCAAAAGTCAGCGGAATTATTTTAGAGCCGTCATGTCTCATTTTTACATATCTAATATTGATATAAAAGGCGTTTGTCATTTGTCGTTTGGAGATAATTATTTGCTTTATCCATTGTTCTCTTTTTTTTGTTTTATCATGTAGAGATGTTTCCATCAACCGAGATATTCTCGGCATCAGACATGGGCGACGGCGTACACGTCATCATGTCGTCTGTTATCTCACCATCCAGTTTGAAGCAGGCCGATTCGTAGTGTTTGTTCAGATATGACTTGAGGGCAAACGACTTGTCGCAACGCTTGCACTTGTAGTTCTTGTAAGCCGAATGCGTCTGCATGTGAGCGCGGAGGTTGGAACGGTCGGCAAACGCCTTGCCGCAGTGCGCACAGCCGAAGGGCTTCTCGCCCGTGTGTGAACGCATATGGCCTTGGAGCAACCAGGGACGGCTGAAGGACTTGTGGCAGACATTGCACTTGTGTTTGAGGTTGTGCGTAAGCACGTGCATGGCCAGGGCAGGCATGCTGACGTAGACCTTGTTGCAGACTTCACACTTCTTGGCTAGATGGCTATCGAGACTGCGATGGGTCTGTTTGTGCCTGGAGAGATTGGACGAGGTGGCGTACTGCTTCCCGCACTCATTGCACTTGTATTTAGGTCTGTTGGCTACAGCGGCTAAGGATCCATCAAGCGGACTGTGCTGCTGATCGATACCTGGTCCTATAATCCCACCGCTGCCACCGTTTTGTAACGCGCGTCGTCGTGATCGTCCATCCGTAATCAAAAATGCTTCGTACGACAGAAACAGCTGCCCTTTGCTCTGAACACTGAGGATTCCGCTGTCCACATCGAAGTCTCTTGACTTGGAGTCCGTCAGGGGTTCAGGTGAGCTTGGTAGAGAAGGCGGCTCTTCGTGGTGATGGGTAAGAAGGTTGGTAATCATCAAGGGCTCACTAGGAGGAGAAGACGGCGATGGAGTGATATCGTGGATGTAACCTGCAAGAAAAGAAATAAAGAAGAGAGATGTTGGTTGTTATTAATGATTAAGCAAATGTAACTACATCATAGGAAATGATTATGTTTTCCCCTAAAAAGCCCCAAATATATTACTTCCTGAGCGCTTATCAAAAATAGCTGAAGTGCTAAATAAATCCCATGAATGTTAAGAACATACTGGTCATACCACTATATATTTATACCGATTTTTTTTTTAAACGTGCATTATTGATCGTAATGATAAATGACGTTAGAAGATGCACATTAATGACAGACATAATGCTTTTAGTAACAGACTGTTTCATGAAGACGAGACTTACTATTCCCTAGCCAGCATGCTTAGTAATGCAAATATAGCAACAACACATCAAATCTACATTTAAACGATGTTTCTTTCCACTCATTATTACAATAGAAAAATGGTAACAGATATGATAAAATATAAAACACAAACAGAACAGCTTCGGGAAACGTTATTCTTGTGAAAGTGCAGTTACAGGAAAGCTCAGACAAGAAAGAAAAAACCTATCCAGATCTACACACATTGAATCAACAATGAATATACAGCTTTGAGGTGATGTTGCTTCCATACTGCGTAGTGCATATGAAATGTATCTGCGAATGGGGGAACTTATTTTTATTGCGGTGGTGCACTATACATGTTCATTTTGCACGCCTGATTGCATTGATATCATTAGGACGAGAACCGAGAAGGAGATTTGTGAAGGAGAACCTGACAATCAATTCTTGAAGTGCGTGGCTGCGGTTGGAAGAAAACCTGTGGAGGACTGCCATGGTAATGGTAAATTGACAGAGGGGGAGGGAGAGAGGAAGATTGTGAACAGTTATATTAGAGCTCGCTGCGTATGAGATGTTGTTTGAATAAGACAATATTATATGATGTACAAATATGTGGATATAGTGTATACATTTGAGATATTTTTTTAAATACCATATCGGAGAATAATTATATATATTTAGAGCGTTTTCGTAGATATTAATAAACATTACAGGGCTGGATATTCAAGTTTCCGGGAAGAAAGTGCGAAGGCCAAGAGAAAAAAAGGCTAACAGAAAGAGGGAGAGAGAGAGAGAGAGAGAGAGCGAACTAAACAAATATATTGTTTGGATGTGCTCGCCAAAGAAATAAAAAGGTTACATCATGTGTGCGAGAGAGAGAGAGAGAGAGAGAGAGAGAGAGAGAGAGGGGGGGGGGGCAGGGAGATCGAGGAGAAAAGGGTATGGGATAATTGTAAAGCTCGGGGCATACATGGGAGGGTAGGGAGATAGTAGTAGGTGGATGATGGATGGTGGTTGGATGCTAACCTTTTTCCTCCAATTTGAGTTCGCCCGAGCGTGAGGATTGATCAACGAGCTTGCCCGGCATCCTCTTTCCATTATTCAAGGGACTTGTTGCGCGCGTGCCTATAGCGCCAAGCAAATACAAGCCTGGGTGCCTGGTAAGACGGACTAATGCCTCCTCCACCAATTATAGGTGGCTCTCCTACTTCAAACAAAATCTTGATGTGAAGATGATTCCCGAATCCGCCTTCCTATCATGTTTACTCCCCTTCTCATCCCTTCCCCCTTTCCCTTCTACCACTCACTCTCTATCCCATCATTCAGCGTATCACTTTGCTCAGAGCCTCGGATGTAGGCATCTCGAACTTTGGACAGCTGTTTAGGGTTCAGTTAATGGCCCCCAATATGCTTCTTATTACGTGTTATGATTGCACGGCAAACAAGCAGAGGGAATGAATGCATTCACTCACATAAATGTAACCATATACCATGAGTCATCGCTCATCTTTCAAGACAGTCTGTATCTTCTAACTGTGATCTTAACACAAAACTATTATTTCTGCAATATCTGAATATCATAGTCCCATTTCTTGCTTGAGCAATTGATAATCATTTTTTGAAATACAATCTTCATTCCGATGTCTTCTGCATTTTTCGAAGGTTAAGTTGTTCAATGATTAAACCATAATTTTAGAATATTCAAGTAACACTGAACTGAATCATGAGTCAACTATACTATAATCGTTCTTTCAGGGATCATATTGAACGAGAACTCGATATTCCCCAACCTGACTTTCGATTCGTCGTGTATAAGCTACATTCGAATCACTTATTTTTAATAATAATAATGAATAATAATAATATCTAAAATTTATATAACGTTGCTATATACATACAGTTTCTAAGCGCTTTACAAAATGAATGAAAATGAAAAGAACGTTTAATCTAAATATGTAATAAACATCAACAAGAAACGTGAAATTAGCATTGTGCTTAATCTAGACGAAACAAACACTCTTACTTAACCAACAGTGTATTAACAGTAACATGATAATGACAATCAAAATACAATAAGTAACAATGAAACTACGATAATGATTTACTTTGGATAAATTTGGTATGAAAATGGGGGATTACTTTGTGTTGAATAGGTAAGTCTGCGTTTAAAAGTGTCAAGAGTTGGGGATTCACGGACAGAGATGAGGAGATTATTTTAAAGTTTAGGAGATTTAAATTCATTTTTTTTCCGTCTCAGTATGAGCATAATTTTACACATGATACAACTTGATCCGATTACAAAATGTAATAGATATGTACGGTAAACAAACATGAGGAAAATGAGAAGAATAGAAATATTAATAACAAGTCAAGTTTAGATTATTCAAATCTCGCAGATATATTTTAACGACTATCATCATCATCATACAGTCTATACATTTTTATTTGGTCCTTGGCTGACCTGTCACTCTGGGCAGGCGTGATAAATTTTTCAACTAGATGTATCACTTTTAATTCTGTATCCATTTGTTTAAACTTGAACAAACTACATGCATTTAGTCATTCAATGTGGGTATATGTACTTAACCCTAATTTCTGTTTTCATGTTGTATATAACCCTCTAATGTTTTATGTTTTGTTTTTATTGTGGTTTAAATGCATCTTTTTGTCATATATATGCACATGTATACCCGTTTAAACATCCGCACTGAAATCGAATTTTAATGCAATGGACCATCTTTTTTTTTAATATTGGAAACAAATAAATATAAATAAAGAGTGTGTAACGTAGCTGACAAAAGCTTCCCTCTAATCAACACCTAAATAGTCACATGCTCTGTGCATCCTCTGAAACACTATTACACCATTAGACAATTATTTTTTAAAAAAAACAGAGAAAGCTTGATAAGAAAATACAAAAACAAGAGGCTAAGTACTTCCGATTCGTATCCATTATTCAGTGTTGTGCTGAAACACAATGGTTACAGTTCTTTAAAATCATCAAGAGACGCAAAAATGAAACGGTTTCAAGTACTCTTACTACTTTTTACTTTTTGATACATTATATTGGTGTTGTACTGTAATTCATTATGTTTTCAAACTCCTTGATGTATAACTTGGTTGCAACACACTTAAGGCTACACGGCTCATTTAGAATCCATCCCAGCTCCGATCTGAAGTTTCCCCTGCGGTTTCGGATAAAAGCACCATCCTTTATTGTTTTGTACGTACATGTAAAAGTACAATATTATCGTTTAATACTGTGTTAAGATTATGATGTAGAATTTACAACAGTCCAACTGCATCGTGATCGCATTGTAAAAGTATGCAGGTAGGAACTTTTACATTAACTGTTTAATTTCGGTTGAGTAAGATCTATTTTTAACCCATCAAATATTTTCCCAAATGATTACTTACAATCTCTCGAATCCCTCTTCTTACTTTTTTCATTCTCCGCCATAGATTTATTTCCATTTTCCTCTTTTTAAACACATTCACGCTCGCACCTCCCCAAAGACCGAAGCAAATGGCAATTGATTGAAGCAAATCTGTATCTCTTATTTCCTTCTTGCATACGATTGAGTTTCTAACACGAACAAGTCCGATACTCTGACGAATTAAAACATATTGCCCACAGCACACTAATTGATTTTATATAGCTCTTTTTGTTCTTAAAGACACCCTAGGAGTACCAACTGGTTGTTTGATCGAGCAATAATTACGAGGAAATAGAGACGGAAAAAGAAAAGAATACGGGGTAGGAGGCTTGAGGAGTGGGAGACTTAAAAGAGAATAAAATTGCTTACCCGAACCGAGAAATCCCCCGTTCTGCCATAATACATCCATTATTAGTGCGCCAATGCAAAGCTAATGGCGCGGAACGAAACAAGAGGATTTTTTACCCTTCACTTTGTCACGCCACCATTTTAGGTTTCCATTCTCATATTTGAATATTGGGGCCCATGCGGTCATCGACTGTCAATTTTACCCCACTCTTCTGTTCTTCTTCTTCAGAGTTCGCTGCTCTCTGACCGCATGTTTGATTGTATGCAATGCAGATGTAATTGGGGATAATCGAGCGGATTTAGCTTGTTCCGTTCATACAAAAAAACTGAAGTCCGTCTGTGCCCTTATTTCTGCAGGCGGCAAGCTCAATGGAGGGTTCAAAATCAGAAATCTATTATTGGGTGGCGCACAATGAAATATAAAGATCCTTTGTTTTATTGTTTGGGATTCAAGTATATCTCTGATTTTACACAGATTTAATGAATGTATATAAACTCGGTTTATGTTCTTTTGAAAGTATTGAATACAAATAGTTCGCTTTTATATAGATACATTATTGATGTGCAGATTATTTAGATAACAAGCAAATGTTAGTAAGGATAAACCTTCGAGAATGAATCCAAATTTATCTACATCGTGTAGAACAAATTAACAAACGATTTGTAAACTGATTAAATATCCCTCATCAACAATAAATCAATGACATCTTTCAGAATTATACGATAGCACAGATCATTTAAGATGAAGCTTTCTCTCCTAAAGCACAGATACTTTGTTATCTATTGAAGATCTGAGAACGTTTTATGGAGGTCTATAACACTTCTACAAGACAAGCGCTATATCCATTTTGAATCATTATAACCATCTGTAGAGGTATAACATCAAATGGAGAAAAGAGGCTTTCGTATGTTTTT